GTCTGATGTGTGCTGGCCTCTGGGAAAGAAACTGGTGTCAATCTCATAAGGTCTTTAAAAGAGAATAATTACTCACTGTGGGGAAAGGGAGGTAAATCTGCCTGAGTGGTGAAAGCAATGCCTGGGACTGAATGAAGACCCTTAGCTGACACTTCTCCTTTCCAACCAGAGGAATCCATGCTATTTTATGTCCTATTAAAAGTCTAGCATTCCCAATCCATTTTATCAGGCATCACCCTTGCCTCAAAAATGATCAGAGGACTCAAGCTTCATAAAACAAAAATGCTATGTACACCCTTTGCTGTCGTTTTGTTCTTCAGTCTAGTTGTGGAGGACGTTGCTTCACTGGCCCAAGTTGGCACCATCATTGCGCTCTTCCCAGGAGAGGCAGATCAGTCGNAAGTCTGCCTCTCGGGCAGGACCTGGCTTTGGGAGCACCCCGCCCCCTGCCCTACCCTGCCAGATCCGCGTCGCCTGGGGCTGGAAGAAGCCCAGTTCCCTATAACTTGGGATCAACTTGCCTTTTTAACACCCAAATCGGACCGTTGCTCTCCGTGCCTTGGTGGCTTCCCCAGTCACTCGGGATATAATCCCAGGTCCTCAGCATAGCCCAGCTCCTGGCTACTTCTCTGCCCTCTGTCCCCACCTGGCCTCCTTGCTTATTCTTAAATACACCCTCTAAAGGCCTTCCCATTCGTCGTTCCTTTTCTGAAGTTTCACTCCTCCAGATATATGCAGGGCCTGCAGCTCCTTTCATTCGGGTCCCTGCTCAAAAGATACCAATTGGGAGACGTCGTCCGTGAGCACCTTATCTAAGGCAGGCCCACTTCATTCTTCCCACCACTCCCCACCCCACTTACCCTGCTGCACTCACCTTCATTACCCTCCTCTCTCTGACATGACATGTTACCGACTTGCTCACCGTTTTGCTTGGCTTTTGTCTGCCTCCCCCCTCTACACACGCTCCATGATTACAGAAATGGAAGTATGTTCGCTGCTGCATCATCAAAGTCCCTGGCACATAATAGGTGCTCAGGAAACAGTTGTTGTGTGGATGACAGAATGAAGGACTCCAATCCTCTCCTTCACAGTGAGGAACCCAGGACCCAGAGCAGGAGCGACTTGTACAAAGTCACACTCATTGGCTCATGCGTAGCAGATCCTGAATTCACCCCAGCTCCCAGATGAAGGCTTTTTGGTGCC